GGCTTTGGCATGCTGCACTTTAAAAATTGTATTCCTTGTACTTCTCTGTATCATGCTCAAAATAAATAAATAAATAAATAAATAAATAAATAAATAAATACTGTTTGTACAGCAATGCATGCAACCATACGACCTGTTTTTGTAATACTCATTTGTGCTTGTTATCTGTTTACAATAATGTTTTACCACTGAATACTTCATTGCTTAGTTAATCTTAAGTTAATTTTAAGCCTGCCCATAATGCTGTGCATTCAAGTGGCTTTGGCATGCTGCATTTAACTATTCTTTTGTACTTCACTGTATCATGTTCAAATTAATTAATAAATAAATAAATAATAAATAAATAAATATGAATAAAAGATTAAAATGGAATTCACCTATAAAGCCTGGAAACGTAACTAATAATCAGAGGAAATGTTATTTTAGTGCCAGGAATGCCTGCATTGTTTATTCTGAACCCTATTTTGAAACTGGAATATTTTGAACTGTGTGAAATTGGCCAAATTACCAATTTCTGATCACTGTCCCCAGGCCTAGCCCCATTCCCTGCCCCCACAGGGATTGGAGGGAGAAGCTAGGCACCTTGGGCTGCCACAAACCCTGCCCACACTGGGCTTGAAGGGTGTAGCAGCTGCACAGCAGCAAAGGCAGCAAGCACTACAGGATCCTTTTGGAGCCACAACCCAGCTTTGGGCATTAAGCCAGAGTGCTGGGGAAGCTCAAGAATGCCTTTTGCTGTGTGTTGCTGCTGCTACTACTTCACTTGTCCATTGCACTCTGTGGACCCTGAAAGGGTTAAAAACCACTTGTCTTCATTCGCTCCTATCTAATATGCCTACTGGATGCTCAAGCCCTTAAAACTCAAAGCCTCTCCTTCCAACAGTTTATGGGATGACCCCTACTCCTTCTATCTTCCATCCCAGATTTATAGTATCATCCTCTTTGTCAAGCTATCAACCCATCACTCTCCATCTCTACATGCCTAAACTACCTCAACAACCCTTCCTCTACCTTATGAATTATACTTTTGGTAATCTCATTCTGTCCTCTAATTCCACACTCCGCATTCTGTGCATAATATTCATGCCATGCTGCACTCAAACATAAACAATTCTCCAGCCTTCTTCCTGCAACACTAAACCAATAAAGGCTCAAACATAGCCTAGTGAATAGGAAGTAATCAAGTATGATCCAGGAAATGGGACTGTAGCTTCAATTCTTTGAATAGAGAGACCTTCACTGGCACAAAGTACCTCATCTGAAGCTAAAAATGTGCCATAAAACATTCATGTTCTGTAAAAGAAGTCTGTATTGCAAGCGTCCAAGTTATGAACAGGTCACTTTGGGCCAATTAATTTCTTACGAACATGGATCAACAGACGTGAAAAATGCAAAATTCAAAGAAAATTTTCTTTTTAACACTTGCAGTCTCCCATGGAGGTAGGGTGAACCCCCCCCCCCCCCCAAAAAAAAAAAAAACACTTTTATCATCATTCACTCCATCACTGTCTTGTCAGAGGTGTGACAATTCAGAAGCTACTCCAACCTGCAAATATCTCCACTCCTCCTTCAGAGTGCCGGCACTGCATATATGATTTTTTCAACCATTTTTTACCAAATGCTTTCATATTTTATGTACAGTAGACCGTCATTTAACCCTTTGACTGTCGCAACCCCCAATCCTGAGGTGTCTCCTGGTGTCGCAAAATTTAAAAAAAAAAAAATATTTTTTCTTATGAAATGATAGAGAATCTTTTCCCGATTGTAATGACACCAAAAAAACGAAATTTGATGGAAAACTGACGGAATTATGCTCTCGCGAAGTTAGCGACCTCGGCGCTGTTTACAAATCGGCGATTTCGCCCACTTTGAGCCCTATTTTCGGCTAATTCCATTGTTCCAGTCGCCCAAACTCATAGCTATTTCTTTAGAACTTCATTTTTTCTATCGATTGAATACAAGAAACTGCCCATTTACTGATTTCAACTACCTAATAATGTGGTCAGAAATTTGCAATTTGGCCAATTTCACGAAAAATAAAAAATATGACAATTTCAAAATAAGGTCCAGAATGAACAATGCAGACATTCCTGGCTCTAAAATAACGTTTTCTTTGTTCATCAGTCACATCTCCAGGCCCTTCTGATATTACTCTTGCTTTCTATTTTGAATTTTTATTCAAACAAAAAATATTAGACTTACTATTATGCAGACTACTGCAATGCTGTAATAACTGTATAAATAACATCAACCCATTCATGACTGCATATTAGAATGGCTAGTTGGACATTTATTGGACAACGGCATCATTTGTTTACTTTTGAACATTGGCAAAAATCAAACATTTCCCATACTTTGAGCTCCATTTCTAGGTTCTTTTTATAGTAAAATCAATCAAAATCACCTCTATTTCTGTAATATGTTTTCCATTCTATCAAATGAGACCAAGAAAACGAGAATACAACCATAAATACTATACGAAAATAGACCACAAAGTCGGCATTTTAATTAAAAAAAACGGTCGGAGTTTTTTTTTTCTCATTATGCACTGCGTGCTCCAGGATTTTTTTTATATGGTGCACACTGACCACACAGACCCATTCTCTTACATGTGGGCCTACCAGCTTTCTCCTGCTTGATTTGAAGCCGCTAGAATTTATGAGTATATATACGTCAAACACGGCACCTCGTAAAACGTATATATACGGCCGCGACAGTCAAAGGGTTAACATGGTAGTTACGTTTCTGAAAATGCCATGTTAGGTAAAACTGTGTTAGATGAACTGAAGAACTTAGGGGAAAAAATAGGGTTACGATCCTACAAGCCCCAAAAAAGCCAAACAATTTTTTTTTAGGCTTCAACACCTTACAAAATTAAAAGTGAATATGTAACTGTAGTTCATCGTTGTGATGTATTATGTGTTTTTACTGGTTAAGGCTACAAATGTAACAGAAATAATAGTATTTTTTACCGTAAATTGTGGGTGCTGGTGTTTGTGGATGATTGTGAAGAATGGAGAGTTATGCTGTGGTCCTACTGGTCTGAGGTGGATGGTAGATATTCTGGCACTGAAGTCAATGGTTGTACTGGAGTGTCTAACTTTAAGTCATTCAGTCAAATCGGTAAGTCATTCAGTCAAGTCAGTAAGTCATTCAGTCAAGTCAGTAAGTCAATTCAGTCAAGTCAGTAAGTCATTCAGTCAAGGCAGTAAGTCATTCATTCAGTCAAGTCAGTAAGTCATTCAATCAAGTCAGTAAGTCATTCAGTCAAGTCAGTAAGTCATTCAGTCAAGTCAGTATATCATTCAGTCAAGTCAGTAAGTCATTCAGTCAGTCAAGTCAGTAAGTCATTCAGTCAAGTCAGTAAGTCATTCAGTTAAGTCAGTAAGTCATTCAGTCAAGTCAGTAAGTCATTCAGTCAAGTCAGTAAGTCATTCAGTCAAGCCAGTAAGTCATTCAGTCAAACCAGTAAGTCATTCAGTCAAGTCAGTAAGTCATTCAGTCAAGTCAGTAAGTCATTCAGTCAAGTCAGTAAGTCATTCAGTCAAGTCAGTAAGTCATTCAGTCAAGTCAGTAAGTCATTCAGATAAATCAATAAGTCATTCAGTCAAGTCAGTAAGTCATTCAGTCAAGTACGTAAGTCATTCAGTCAAGCCAGTAAGTCGTTCAGTCGAGTCAGTAAGTCGTTCAGTCAAGTCAGTAAGTCAGTCATTCACTAAGTCAGTCACACAAACTCATGTTTACCTCTTTTTGTGTACAAAGTAACACTTCAATAGAGTTATCTCTTGTCTAATATCGGTTTTCTTTGTTAATTCTAAGACTTAAATGCTTATACCTTCTCCTGCCACTTTCTGCAACACTGGTATGCCTACTGGGTGTCATGATTGCTTGGCAGATACAAGATATTGTAATTAAAAGATCAAAACACAATTCACAAACACAGCTAGCTTGTAGCAGAGAAGGACTGGACTGGATATGTATGAAGTACGAATGCTGGGATGGTGGGGTGGTGTCAGGGGTGGCAGGGGATGGTGGGAGGTCTCCCCGACTGATCCACAACTAGGCAGCTGCTGGAGGAAAAGGGAATTTTTTTTTTTCATTCCCGCAAACTGAACTGTGTTAAATTAATTTTATGACGTGTTACATAAAATTGTGCGGCAATTCTTCAATCGTGCTATACTTCCCGTGGGCTGTGGGGGCGTTGAGACCGGGCCACGGGGGTGTTGATCCCTGAAACCCTCTCCAGGTAAACTCCAGGTAAATGATGGTCTACTGTATTTTTATTTTGTTCATTTATGGAGAGCTCATGTTAGTTTGGTAGAGATTAGTTAAGAGTTGTAGATTTAACAATCATGATAGTTAATTAGGCAGAAGGTAGCTGCTCCTAATACATGATTAATGATAAATATGCAGAAGCTCAACACAATTCAGCTAAGCTTCAATCACAACTCTCTCTCCTAACTACACAGTCTGGGGATATAATTACCTTCATCACTCCTTAATGCTCTCATCATAAATGAGATGGTGGGGGGCATATATAAAGTGTGTTGTCAAATAAAATACAAATGAGGAAATGGGAGGAGAGGCAGCCTTGCTGTTGCCCATGCATACAATTTCCTCACCACAATCCTCCAACACCAAACACTCAATCACAACAATAAGTGGATGGTGAGCATGTGTAAAGTGTGTTGGGAACGAGGGTGGGAGAGAATAGGAGTGCAAAAGCGAGAGGGAGAGGACAGATAAGAAATGAGAGATGAGGATAGAGAATGGGAGAGGGGAAGATTAGGAAATGGGAGAGAGAAGCAGAGGGAAAGGGAATGGGAAGTAGAGAAAGAGGGAGGAGAAGGAAAAGAAGGGACTTGTATGAGTACTGAACATTATTTTAAATTTCAGTTAAAAAATGAAATTTGTTACCATATTTTTATTCTGAAATTATGCTGTAATTTCTACCTTTAGCCATTTTACTAAACAACGAGATGAACAAATTCCAATCTCACCTAATACAAGCACAACCGAGCCTGGAGGTGGTCTCACTGGGGTGCGTGATACACTCCACCAACACTAGGAGACACTGCTGCAACATTAGCAGGGCACTGCCACTCTCACTTAGAACATCTAGAAAAATAACATGCAATAATGGCCTTCCTTTAATATGGCACTCTACAGATGGGAAAATATTTAATATGGCTATTTGAAATATATAAGGAGCACAGAGCACTGTAAATGAATGTGAAAAATACAGACAGTATACAGCCTCTCCTCACTTAGTGACATACTCATTTACCGACAACTCAGACTTACGACGGGCTCTTTGACCAGTATGCATACCTATATAATGTAAATTAGAGTTGATTTCCTCTATTCTGTTTATTATAATAAACAGTACACTACTGTATAAACATTTAAAAATATACCACAAATGTTATAAATGATGCAAAAGTGACACTAAAACAATATAAAAAATAGTTAACACAAACCCACTACCATTATAGTATGTTCTTCACTTAGTGATGAATTCATTTATGATGTGGTATTAGGAACATCATTAAGTGAGGAGAGGCTGTATACACCATATGCAGACAACTTGAAAGCTGTACCCTTATTAGCCAGTTTGGTAATATATTCTACCACCAAGTCTGAGGTGAGACCAGTGTACTGCTTGAAAGATGCTGTGAAGTCCCATGAGGTGGCAGAAACGCTGTTGGATCGTCTGAGCCATCCTTGCATCAGAGGTAACAACAAATGGTTCACACAGTACATTCCAAAGGTAGGACCTAAGAAGAAACAACTTATAACTGACAATAAAGAAATAATGACTATGGTACTGAGTTGAAAATGACTCAAAATAAGTGTACATACCTCTCTTTACATATATTCAAAGGAACAAATTTCTTTTTTTTTTTTTTGCATACTTAAAGAATGACATAAATATTTCAATCCTGACAATGTACCAATATTAAATCACCATTTATTTATTAAAAAATGTCACTCTTACTTTTATAATTTTGTGAATGAGAATAAAATATGAAAAGGTAAACTAGCAATTATATACCACTTCTTTTTATTATATACAGTATAAGTGTCTTTGGTCTTTCTTAATAAGAAAAATAAATTATACATGCTTTTTTAAGGATGTACCTGGGCAGTCTGGCAAACTACGAAGAAGTGAGAAAAGTGTATCCAGGACCTGTGGTTGATAACGTCGAGGACACGTCATTGTAGCTCCAGCAAGTCCTTCCAATAAGAGGTACCAGATTTGTAGGATACCACTACTGCGATCTATCGATGCCAAATTAATCACTTTGATGTTGTCAAGTGAGGGCCACAGTGCTGCATAGGATACCTGTAAATATATTTACTTAATTGTGCATGCATGAGCATGTTAGACTGGAGTGAGTGGAGACAAGTGCTTTTTATGACTTGAAGTGCTGTTGGAGTGTGAGCAAAGTAACATTTATGAAGTGATTCAGGAAAACTGGGAGGCCAGACTTTAGTCCTGGAGATGAAAAGTACAGTGCCTGCATTCTGAAGGAGTGATATGTTGCAGGTTTTTAACTGTAGTATAGGTGCACCTCTGGCAAGACAGTGATAGAGTGAATGATCACAAAAGTGTTTCTTCTTTTTTAGGTCACCCTGCCTTGGTGGGAAATGGTCAATGTGTTCACTCTCCGAGGGTCCAGAACCCCAATCTCAAAATTCCACACAGGGTTCAAAAAAAAAAAAAAAAAAAAAAAAAAAAAAAAAAAAAAAAAAATCTTATTTTTTCTTATGAAATGGTAGAGAATCTTTTTCTGAAGGTAATAAAACAAAAAGTATGAAACTTGATAAAAAACTGATGAAATTACACTCTTGCAGATTTTGTGTCTGCAATATTTACGCATTGGTGATTTTGCCCACTTTGAGTCCCATTTTCGGCCAATTACAGTGGACCCCCGCATACCGTTGGCATCGCATACCGTTTATTCCGCATACCGCTCACTTTAATCGCAAAAATTTTGCCTCACATACTGCTCAAAAACCCACTCACCGCTGTTCGTCCGAGACGCGTCCAATGTGCGCCTTAGCCAGCCTCACATGTTCCGCCGGTGGCATTGTTTACCAGCCAGCCTCCGCGGTAGCATCCAAGCATACAATCGTAACATTTCGTATTATTACAGTGTTTTTGGTGATTTTATCTGCAAAATAAGTGACCATGGGCCCCAAGAAAGCTTCTAGTGCCAACCCTACAGCAATAAGGGTGAGAATTACTATAGAGATGAAGAAAAAGATCATTGATAAGTATGAAAGTGGAGTGCGTGTCTCCGAGCTGGCCAGGTTGTATAATGAACCCCAATCAACCATCGCTACTATTGGTGGTACAGCTGCTGCTGCTGCTGCACTGTCAGCTGCTGCTGCTGCTGTAGCATCGTCTGCTGCTGCTGTAGCATCGTCTGCTGCTGCTGTAGCACCGTCTGCTGCTGCTGTAGCACTGTCAGCTGCTGCTGCTGCTGTAGCATCGTCTGCTGCTGCTGTAGCATCGTCTGCTGCTGCTGTAGCATCGTCTGCTGCTGCTGTAGAAATCGTCTGCTGCTGCGTAGCATCTTCTTGCTGCTGTAGCACTGTCCACTGCTGCTGCTGTAGCTCACTGTCAGCTGTCTGCATGCTGTGCCTGTAGCACTGTTGTTGGTTGTGGCTTTTGAGAATATACCAAAAACAATAAAACCCAGAGATTTCCATCCACAAGGATAACCAAAAAAAATCGTGTCCATCGAAGACTGTCTAACTATATTTCCATTGGGGTCCTTATCTTGTCACCAGAGCAACCCCACACCAGTCGACTAACACCCAGAGTAACAGGCACAAGTAAAAATGCTCTGGAACTAGTGCTCATATTGTGAATTAAAGCAGCAAAGGTTGGTTTTTGAGAGATTTACAGAATCGTATTGACCATCAACAGTGTGATAACCTGTTCTGGAAGAAACATGCCAAACCGACTTACAGTACTCAGCGGAAAAGGCACTCCAGGACACATTGCTCTTCATCATTCATACTGCTAGCATCTTCATAAGGTAAGTGTCCATTTATTCTTCATTTAGTAGACTTTACATGCACTGATTATACTTGGGCAGGAACACTCTCATTGTGCATGATCCTTCTCTTTGTGTGTAGAAGAATTAGTATATTCATGTTGGTAAAATTTTTTTTTCTACTTTTGGGTGTCTTGCACGGATTAATTTGATTTCCATTATTTCTTATACGGAAAATCATTGGCTACCGAGAATTTTTCGCATTACCATGAGCCCTATTGACACGGAATAAAATCGGTATGTGGGGGTCCCATGTAATATGTTGCATCTAGATCAAACTCTGTAGCTAGTTCACTAGAGTTCCAATTTTATTTACTGAGAAAGAAAATTGCCAAAACAACTATTTCAACTATCCAATAAAGTGATTGAAAATTGGTTAATTTGGCAATTTCACACAAAGTTCAAAACATTCCAATTTCAAATTATGGTCCAGAATAAGCAGTGCAGGAATTCCTGGCACTAAAATAACATTTCCTCTGTTTATTAGTTATGTTTCTAGGCTTTACAGATGAATTCCATTTTGATTTTTTATTCACACCAAAAAATAGATGATTTACTGAAATGCATTATTGTAGTATCTGTATAATTAATATCAGTACATTCATGAACACACATTAGACCCACCAGCTGATGTTTACTGGATGTGTGATGTGATTTGTTTACTCTTGGACATCAGCAAAAACTGAACATTTCTGCTACTTTGAGCTCAATTTCATTCTATCAAATGAGACCAAGAAACTACAAATACAATTGTAAAAACCATACAAAAATGCACCGCAAAATCACTGTTTTAACCCTTTCAGAGTCTGTCCCGTTGATCTACAGCTTTGAAGCCAGGGTTCAAGCCATGCCATGAGCTCAATTCACTCAGAAAACCTGTGAGTGGTAAATTTGGGCCTAGATATGAGAGAGTACATCAAAGTGGTAAGTGTGCACCACATAAAACAAATCCTGCAGCATGCAGTGCATAATGAGAGAAAAAAACTGTGATCGTAATTTTGGATTAAAACAGCAACTTTGTGGTGTTTTTTCGTATGTTTTTTACAGTTGTATTCACGATTTCTTGGTCTCATTTAATAGAATGGAAGATATTTTACAGAAATAGAGATGATTTTGATTGGTTATAGTAATGAAAATGGCTTGAAACTGAGCTCAAAATAGCAGAAATGTTCAATTTTTGCTGATGTTCAAGAGTAAACAAATGACATCACACATCTAATATGCATCAGCTGGTGGGTTTAATATATGTTCATGAATGTGCTGATATTATTTATACAATTATTACAACATTGGATATGAGTAAATCTTCTATTTTTTGGTGTGAATAAAACTTCATTATGTGAATAAAAAATCCAAATGGAATTCATTTGTAAAGCCTGAAAATGTAACTAATGAACATAGGAAATGTTAGTTTAGTACCAGGAATGCCTGCATTGTTTATTCTAGACCCTATTTTGAAAATGGAATATTTTGAACTTTGTGTTAAATTTGCCAAATTACCAATTTCTGATGACTTTATTGGGTAGCTGAAACAGTTGACTCGGCGATTTCTTGTGCTCAGTCGATAAAATAGAAGAAATGTTAGCGAAATAGCTAAGAATTTGGTTGACTGGAAAATTGTAATTGGCCTAAAATGGGAGTCAAAGTCAGCAGAATCGCCGATGTGTAAATACTGCTGACACATCAAAATTCGGGAGAGCATAACTTTGTCAATTTTCCATCAAATTTCGTACTTTTTGTTTTATTACCTCCAGAAAAAGACTCTACCATTTCATAAGAAAAAAAAAAAACTTTTTTTTTTTTAAATTCTTGGAACATGGCTGTCACTCTGAGATTTGGCCTCTGAACCCTGAAAGAGTTAATCCAAAAACACGGTGGCAATTTTTTTTATCTCATTATGCACTGCTTGCTGTAGGATATGCTTTATATGGTGCACACTTACCACATAGATACTTTCTCTTATATCTAGGCCCAAATTTAGCACTAGCAGCTTATCTGAGTGAGCTGAGCTCATGATGTATTACAGCTTGGATCCTGGCTTCAAAGCCATTGAACTAGGGCATGGAACCTCAAAGCATCAATAAAAAAATTAAAATATAAAATTTTTTGCACTGTTTTTGTAACAGCAGTCCATTTACATTTTTTAGAAAGCTCCACTTTTAATACTGGATAAAAAAAATAAACATTTCCAAAAAGTTGCTCCATGGGGAAGTGGAACAGAATCCTTCCTCTGTAAGCCATGCATGTTGTAAAAGGCCACTAACACGCTGGGAGCAAGGGGCTGTATCTCACTGAGGCAGGATGGCCCCTTGGGCTATCCTGCCTCGGTGGGATATGGACAGTTTGTTGAAATAAAGATTTCCAAAAAGTACCCAATTATTACAAAGTTATGCAACATATATTTTAATCATTATGGAAAACCTTAAATTATGCAGAGCATTTCAGGCAGATTAAAACCAGAACTTAAAACTACTTGACACTGTATAGTCGAAATTATATTATTTAAATACTAAGTTTGAAATAATTAAGTGATCTGAATGTTACTTAACCCTTAACCCTTTCAGGGTCTGTGCCGTAGATCTACGGCTTTACATTGAGGGTCAAAACCGTAGATCTACCCGATGAGCTCAGCTCACTCTGATAAGCTATGAGCGGTAAATTTGGGCCCAGATATGAGAGAATATATCTATGTGGTATGTGTGCACCACATAAAATAAATCCTGCAGCATACAGTGCATAACGGGAGAAAAAAACTGAGACCATAATTTTCGATTAACCCTTTGGGGGTTTCGGCCATACTAGTACGGCTTATGCCCCAGGGTTTTTGACGTACTAGTACGCCTAAATTCTAGTGCCCTCAAATCTAGTGAGAGAAAGCTGGTAGGCCTACATATGAAAGAATGGGTCTATGTGGTCAGTGTGCACAGTATAAAAAAAATCCTGCAGCACACAGTGCGTAATGAGAAAAAAAAACTTTGACCGTGTTTTTGGAATAAAACAGCGACTTTGCACTGTATTTTCATATGGTATTTGCTGTATTCTAGTTTTCTTGGTCTCATTTTATAGAAAGGAAGACATATTACAGAAACTGAGATGATTTTGATTGGTTTTAAAATGAAAAGTCCCTTGAAATTGAGCTCAATAGCAAAAAGTTTATTTTTCCAAAGTTAAAAAGGTAAAAAATCATGCCAAGCGTCCAATACACGAAAAAGGGTGGTTAATATTCTTTCACATCCTATTATTACTGCACCTATACAACAAAAACACTTAACTTGAT